CATAGTTCGCTGCTTGCGTGGCAGGTATTTGGATTTGGGACTATCGTGATGCTCCATTCAGGCAACGGTCTTTTTGAGGTCTGCCAGAATGCAGCACCACAGCCATTTTCAAGAAAACATCAGACAACTACGTTCAAAGACAAAGTGCAAACTCCAAGAATTCCTCCATGTCTCAGTAGAATCTTGAGTGCCGTAGGTTGGACCGAATCCTTTCTGCTCCATCTGGATCCAAGTTCTCCCTGGCGTGGTACAGACAAAATGTGGGCTTCCAAGGTTCACCTAAGACCTAGCCACAAGGTGCCACTCAAAAGCAGATAGACTCAGACAGATCGATCGTTCAGAGATCTTTCTGTTCGGCCTTGCTTGGCCCAAGGCCAGACGCATTGCAAAGCCAGATGCAGCCTTCATAGTTGCCAGGCGTGGATTCTGATTCACTCCGGCAGGTCACAAATGATAGCTGAGAATCACTGCATTCGAGACATATGATAACACTATGATAACACATAACATGCAGCTCGGGGCCTTGGTCCGCGTCTAGGAACCCCATGGACTGGCAGCTATGGGAGTTGGTATGTCAAAATCAAGCAACTATCAGCAATTAGCTGTGTAGTTTGTTTGTACAACAATAGGGACGGTACGACAACGGGCACGCAGCAGCGCACTTCCCAATACTGCGCTCATCACTGCATTGGCCCAGAGGCAACTATGCCAAAACGTTTGAACATGTACAGTATTCCTACATTAACCTATGTCAGTCAAAACTGAGCTTAATGAATGGTGCACATTGGTGCAGTGATGACTAACTCAAGATCGATGTCAACTTGATACATTGAAGCTGCCGGCACAGCTGTGGTTGCTGAAGTTGCAGGTATGTCCTCAGCGACGCTCCACGACAGCGGATGATGCAGGAGGTCCCTGGCAGCCGTTGTAAAGACATCCGACACCATGTCAGAAAGAGACAAGATGAACGTGAAAGGCACTTTTGATAAAGCAGCAGAAATAAAAAGACCATAAAGACCCAACACGGTAAAAAGTCTTAGATTAACGCAGAAGTAACTTCGCTAATATAAACTGACAAATGTGTCTACATCCCGCAGGTAAATCTTTGCTTCCTATTGTCGATGAATCCGAGCCTATCTGTCAATGACACACCGGCTATTGATGCAGCCTATCGGTCCGGTGGAATTGTTGTGAGGTGAATATGGCGAGCACGGGGGACGCGAACAATGGAGACCTAGAGACCCCTGGAGCTGATCAACCTCCACTTCATACTATCCATACTGTCCACACTCAGGGAACCGTTTGGTCGACGTGACTTGGCGGAGTTGGAACTCAACTGCTTTGCTGTAGAAGGACTGAAGGAGCTAAGTCACAGCTAAGTGTCTCCTGTATAGTGCACTCTACAGCATGACTGGGCCATGCTGAAGAGAGCTCTGATTGCCGTAGAGCCTTTGTGACCGTGTCAAGCGCTTTATCACTTTGAAGAGACGAGATTATTCCAATTTATTCCACCTTTCTGAGGATGCCTCCAATCGGAAGCAGCCGAAGCGTCTATTCGGAAGAGAAGGCAACATGTTTTTCGATCAAACTGATATAGTGTGTAGTTTTCTTTCTTTTCTTTGAATTCGTAAAATAGCCAGTATAATCCAGTATATGTAACTGGGTGCTTATCTCATTGTAATATGGACAATACCTCTCCGCTTTGCCAACCCATTGAAGCCATTTTTCATTTTCGAGGAAACTGCGCCAAGGGTAAGAAGACCAGCGCCCGTGTCCAGCCCCAAGTACTGTGCATCCTCTGCTCACCCTGTGCATTGCTTGAATCTTTGAACATGTTGGCATCGTTTGGCGATGCTTCACCTCACCTCGTCGCTTTCCTTCACAAGTCTCAGTGCCAAGCTGAGGAGGCGATTGGGTATGGAGGCCTTTGCGCAAATGAAGGCAGCCCGTGGACTTTCAAAATCTGTTGGGGCCGGAAGCATCAACTTGCTTGACTGGTGTGCTTCTACAATCTTCTACTGTCTTTGTGCCATGCTCACAAGATGGCTATTATATATATATATTATATATACACCCATGATAGCGATTCTCACATCCAAAATGATCTATATACTGATCTAGTAAGTTTCTGTGACCACCCTGAAGGTGTTGGATGCAAATGCAGTTCCACACAACGGAGACAGCGAAGACAGCAGTGACACAGAGGAGGCCTCGAGTGAGAGTGCCTCGTACATCCAGGCGGGCACGAGCTCGATCAGCACGGACAACGATGATTGAGATATGTCGAGACATAGTTGCGACTGCGACATTAATGATTAATCACTATTAATCAATATATATATATATATATATACATATAATATAATATATATATATATATAATATTTGTATAATATATATATATAATGATTATAATATATATATATATAAAATAATAATGTATATATATATACACATCAATATTAATGATGTCGGGGACATTGCAGTTGCCGCAACTCACAGCATTTGATCTATGAAGGTTCATGGAAACTGAGCTCAGACCAGAGTAGTGGCTGAGCTTCATCGCTTCATCGGTGATCTGCCGCGAAAGAGCTGCAGAAATCCATCCCGCAAAATGTGAGTGGCAGACACTGAGATGGCCAGCTTTTCAGCAGAGTTGAGTGCTGTGATCCGGCAAAAATGAATTCACATACTTCCCATATTCTTCATTTACGTACATGTATGCAATCAAAATAGGCTCAAGGATGATACTCATAGAAGTCAGTGGAACGCCATGGCCAGCATCTCAGACCTTTGAACGCGCCAAGTTTCTCCTACTCTGTCAGGCATGCTGCATGCTTTCAGATACTTTGAGATCAAGTGGTTTCAGTTTGTACATGTCTGGCCGAGACCACGGACGTCCCAGAGTTGCATTTGGCAAAATCCTGCCGTGTCGGAGTTGATGCCTCAATAGCCGAAATGGGCTGTGCAGAGACAGGTCAAACATGTTCGAGAGCTAGGTCAGTGCAGCATTACCTATTTTCTGGTCAGACCTCCGTGCAAGGTGGAAACCAAAGTGCCGATCGCAGCAAGCTCAGTTTCAGATTCATTGGGTTGCAGCATAGTGAAGCGCTTTTGGGCCCAAGATCTTGAGCAAAGCATAGGAAAGCCACACTGGTTGCATTTGATCGCTGAGTCTACTTGACAGACTTGACAGTCAGAATTAGGATGCTGATCTCGGGCACCTGGGAGTGGACCTCAGAATGAACAAGCTATAGCAGCTACCGATAGCCATAGTTTGTTTTGACAGTGAGTGAGAGCAAGTTTGAAGACATGTCTTTGTTGGAGTCAACATCTTCATCGCACTTTGTCAAGAAAGCTACCTGTAGCTAGAGCTGCTCTTGCTTCGAGGATTTTTTGAGCTCAAGTATGAACCCACTTTCCATCACCAACTCCATCCCAAGCCTTCGCACAATCTAGAAATCAGAGTTTCCAAATCAGACGCTCCACATATTTGGGATCTTCAATGCTTTAAGGGGTCTTGAGTAAAGGTTCCGAGTAAGGATCCCAGAATAAATCCGAGGTGCGAGGTCATGCTGGAAGCGAGCGTGAAAGATCACTAAACGGTTTCGAGTACAGGTTTGAAATAAGGGGGAAGCCAGGAAGAAGAGAGACTTTTGCCATCTTTGAACTGTATGTGGGACGAAGTGATGAACACGTTGTGTGCTTGTTGGTTGGGTTCTCGCGTGCCCTTTTATCCTGCCTGTGGTTGTGCTGGGTTGTGCTTATTTACCCCTGGGCTTGCTGTTTTGATCATAGAAAAGCAAACACATTTACAGATTCTGTGTGAAAGCCTCCAAAGGCCATGACCAGCAGCTGGCGGGCAAGATCTTGAAAAAGCGCCGTGATGAAATGGCACGGCGCATGCGCTTGCAAATCTGACTTGTTTTTGGGACGAGCCAACAAGACCCAACAAACCCAGCGAGACTTGCAAGAGGAAAGAATTGCAGTGCTACTTTCATGACTGATGATTCACTGATGATGCTTGAGCCAGTGACTGCCACTTACTGCGACTATCTCTCGACAATCTCGATGCCGTGTTTGTCAAGACTTTGGCGTCTCAATTTTCAAGTGATTGATCAGGCTTGACCCCAGACAGCGAGTTGGCGGAGTGCCTCACGAGGCACGCCAAACCAGTTTGCGTCATTTTGCAATCACAGTTTATATACAAGGAAAGAATTATAATTAGGATTAATTAGGGTCTTTAGTCTTTAGATGTCTTTAGACTTTCGTGGTAGAATTCAAGGCTCAGAGTTTGTCATTGGCTCTTTGGCAATTTTTCTCGCCCAGGTGATTCACACTCAGATGGCCGTGAAACAAAGTGCCCTAGATGTAACTTGGCAAACGTTGGGCATTCTAATTTCAGGTGGTTTCGCACACAACAGATACTACTCCTCTGAGAGCTTGACGATACTTGCTGAGACAAAATGAGGCTCATTGAATCTCATTAACACAAAGCGAATCAACATGACATGATGTACTGTAACTTTTCTCCCAAGTTGCATATATAGCTTGGATCCTGTCAGCGGCTACATATTGACCAAATCATATTGTGTGCACTTAGGCTGAGAAAGCCGAAGATGCATTCTATGCCCAGAGTGCTGTGTTGCAGGAGACATGGGATATGTCAGCGCTGTTTGAATTAGCTTGAACCGCTTACTTTGAGATTCTCTGCGCGTGAACCAAACATTTGTTTTGTAATATAACCCAGGACCAAATCTTGCAAGCGGTTGAGAGTATGAAGGCCACTTTATCTAAGAGATGTCCAAGGAGCCGGTTTGTGTTTATTGTGTTTGCATTTTCCATTTTGACTTGATATGTTCTGGTCGTCTTTACGACAGGCCACGCGTGCCAGGGAGCGGCAAATGGAAGTGGTGGATTACTCACTGGCAAACTTGCGAAAGGACCACGTTTTTTTGGTGTTGAATGAATCTTTGGAGAACGAGACCAAATCTACAACCCATATTTCTGCCAATCTGTCTCAGTCGCACCTTTAGACAAGCATGCCTGCTAGGAACAGCGCCGGGAGTATGAACTTAGTGATCCCAACGCCCTCAAGAAGTATGTCCTGTCCTGGACTTAGACAATTTAATGCACATAAGCAGCATGACATATATACCTGAAGGATTCAACAGAAAACAACAAGATGAACAAGATGTGTCATGAGTCATGTGGCAGCAGCAAAGAAGTGAAGCCAAGGCCAGATCCTGATGATCCAGCAAATCCATTGGGACCAAGCTCTATGCTGAAGCCTCTTGGTTTAAAACTAGACTTCCAAGGGGTCCAGGGAACGGATTTCATGTGGGAAGGGAATGACATTGAGGTCGTGTTTCGCGAAAAGGTTGAACTGCTTCGATTTTGGATCTGGAAATTACAAACTTCTGTTGCAATGATTGCAATGCAACAATGCGACTCCAGGATCAGATTGAGTTTAGAGAAAGGTTGACTTGCAGAACTTGATGATTTTCTCATATTTTCTCAAGTCTCCAGCTTTTTTCCTGAGGTTTTCTAGCCAGAGCATGGGACTCAGGTGTACTCAGGTTGCCTCAGCCCTTTGTGTCAGTACAGAAAGTGCTGAGGCCAACAAAGTGCAGAGAAGAAAAAGCAAGGTCTGCGCGCGTATTGCCACTCTGAATTGGGGGTGTATCAAAGACACTACTGGTTTAGCCTATTGCACACAATCAGGGATCGCATCATTTGGACACAGCAAATTCGAGGCCAAGAAGAACTTTCGACCTGGCTGGCGTAGAGAGCTCAAGACTATCACTTGTGTCGTTGCCTTCCGGACTTCTTAGTTGCTATGCCGTGACGCACTAAGGGCACAGGTGCAGGAGAAGAAAGATCGTCTTGCATATGAGCAAGAATTTGATCGCATTCACGACGAGCGAGCTGGTCCCTCAGAGATTCATAGAGTTTGCATGATTTTGCTTACTCCATGAACTCCACTCAGCCCGTTTTTGACCATGGCGCACTGCATGCTCTGCTGAGGCTATGCTGTCAGCGCGCGTCCGTGCAGTTTGTGAAGATACGGAGATGCAGGAGAGCAATGCGATACAGCGTGTTGAAACAAAGCTCAGATGGTTTGACTTGGTTTGCTTCTGCCGTTTGCAGAGATCATGGGGACACGGTGTGCATTTTAGATCCATTTTCTTTGAAAGGAGCAGCAGGACGCAAAGTGTGAAGAAGCAGCAGAGTGCCTCTACTACAGAGGTCTTTATGCCTCTACCATCCTCTACCATCCTCTACCATTTCCTTCTCTCGAAATATTTCCAAAAGAAAGAGTGCCAATGGCCGCAGCATTTTTCTTCTCTAAGGAATGCGCGATTGGCCAAGCTGGTGCTGGAACAGCGGAAGGCCAGAGGATTTCCAATCAAGAAATCCGATGAAAGCCATGTGCACCTCACTCAGTACCGTCAGGATTTGCAGCCCAGCGGTCTTGCAGTTGCTATCAAAACCAGATACTCTAATAATGGCTTTGTGCTACAGTAGCTGAAATAAAGAAATTGATAGGACGAAATTGATAGGGTGTGGTAAGACTCAGGAGGGCACATCGTTATGTTTGAAAGGATGTTTCCAGGGGGAAGAGAAGCTTGACGCACAGACAACCAAATTTTGAGATTGGCGCAGGCCAAAAAAGAAGCTGATGATGCATGGAAGCAGCGCCACATAGAGACAGCTACCACCTCAGTTTTTTTTTGAGGTTTTTATTCTGACTTTTCTGATTTGGAACATCCTGCTGCATGTTGCATCACGTTTAAACTGCATTTCTACCTATTTGTATTATTAGTTTTTTCTTTCGCATTTCTGCTTTTCCATTTTTTCCCAGAAGAATCTGCAAGACTTAAATTGCACGTGGCCAGGTCATGAACTCCGAGAGGATGAACGAATCGGTGGATTCCAAAGTGGGCTTCACTGGAAGGCTGTTGAAGGCTGAGTACAAAAGGCTGTCCCTTGAACAGGAGCAGGCACGACCTGGATTCTCTGGATCCTATCCCGGGCACTGCCTGTTGTTTTTCATGTTTGAGACGAGAGTTGCTGCGCTGAGACGCACTTGCAGTCACTGGCAGGATGTCTACAATTCCAATGCGAGACAACTGATTGACAAGCTGTCCACGAAGCAAGCCCACAAAGAGGAGGAGGCCATGTTGCTAATTTTTTTGCGTCTTTTCCTGGTTTGTTAGACCGAGAATTTAGGTGGACAGACCCGACTGGACCCAGGATGACCCAGGGCTATGTAGGCTTGTTTCCCCAGGCTGCTGAAGCCTCCAGAATCAATTGCTCTGTCGCTCTGCTACGGACAAAGGGCAGGAGTTGGCAGAAACAGAAACAGATGTGCATTGATATGTATTAATTGATGTATTAATTGATGCATCAATTGATGTATATATTGATATGTATTGATATGTATTGACATGTATTGATATGTATTGATATGTATTGATACGCGCAACGCCTGGGTTCTGCCCAGGCGTTGCAGCGTATATATCTACAATTCACAAACAAATGATATTGCAAATTACAGTAATTCCTATGGGAAAAATAACAAAGGTATTAGGGACTATTAAACAAACAAGGTCAAAACACCCGAAATTCCTATGGGAAAAACAAAAACAGCATAATATTTGAAATTTCTATGAGAAAAACAGAAAAGGTACTAGGAAATTTTAAACTCTCAAATCGTGAAACTTAACATTCAATTAGGAAGATCAACAAAGATATTAGGGAATGTTAAACTCCCACCCCCATTAAACCTTAAATTCCTATGGGAAAAACAGCAAAGGTACTAGGGACTATTTAAAAAAAAAGGGTCAAAAAACCCGAAATTCCTATGGGAAAAACAAAAACGGTATTAGGGAATATTAAACTCCAACCCCCGTTAAACTTTGCATTCAATTGGGAAGATCAACAAAGATATTAGGGAATATTAAAACTCCCACCGCCGTTAAACTTCTACATTCATTGAAGATCTTCAATAAGGGTTTAATTGTCCCACCCCCGTTAAACTTCTACATTCATTGAAGATCTTCAATAAGGGTTTAATTCTCCCACCCCCGTTAAACTTCTACATTCATTGAAGATCTTCAATAAGGGTTTAATTCTCCCACCCCCGTTAAACTTCTTCATTGAAGATCTTCAAAAAGGATTTAATTCTCCCACCCCCGTTAAACTTCTACATTCATTGAAGATCTTCAATAAGGGTTTAATTCTCCCACCCCCGTTAAACTTCTACAGTCATTGAAGATCTTCAATACGGGTTTAATTCTCCCACCCCCGTTAAACTTCGACATTCATTGAAGATCTTCAATAAGGGTTTAATTCTCCCACCCCCGTTCAACTTCTACATTCACTGAAGATCTTCAATAAGGGTTTAATTCTCCCACCCCCGTTAAACTTCTACAGTCATTGAAGATCTTGAATAAGGGTTTAATTCTCCCACCCCCGTTAAACTTCTACATTCATTGAAGATCTTCAATAAGGGTTTAATTCTCCCACCCCCTTAAACTTCTACATTCACTGAAGATCTTCAATAAGGGTTTAATTCTCCCACCCCCGTTCAACTTCGACATTCATTGAAGATCTTCAATAAGGGTTTAATTCTCCCACCCCCGTTAAACTTCTACATTCATTGAAGATCTTCAATAAGGGTTTAATTCTCCCACCCCCGTTAAACTTCTACATTCATTGAAGATCTTCAATAAGGGTTTAATTCTCCCACCCCCGTTAAACTTCTACATTCATTGAAGATCTTCAATAAGGGTTTAATTCTCCCACCCCCGTTAAACTTCTACATTCATTGAAGATCTTCAATAAGGGTTTAATTCTCCCACCCCCGTTAAACTTCTACATTCATTGAAGATCTTCAATAAGGGTTTAATTCTCCCACTCCCGTTAAACTTCTACATTCATTGAAGATCTTCAATAAGGGTTTAATTCTCCCACCCCCGTTAAACTTCTACATTCATTGAAGATCTTCAATATAAGGGTTTAATTCTCCCACCCCCATTAAACTTCTACATTCATTGAAGATCTTCAATAAGGGTTTGATTGATGATGATGATGATGATGATGATGATGAGGATGATGATGATGATGATGATGATGCGTCGCCCGTCGTCGTTGCGGGTCCGGGCAGAACCCAGGCATTTGCCGTATTGATATGTATTGATATGTAGTGATATGTATTGATATGTAATGATATGTATTGATATGTATTGATATGTAGTGATATGTAGTGATATGTATTGATATGTATTGATATGTAGTGATATGCATTGATATGTAGTGATATGTATTGATATGTAGTGATATGTATTGATATGTAGTGATATGTATTGATATGTATTGATATGTATTGATATGTAGTGATATGTAGTGATATGTAGTGATATGTATTGATATGTAGTGATATGTAGTGATATGTAGTGATATGTAGTGATATGTATTGATATGTCGTGATATGTATTGATATGTAGTGATATGTATTGATATGTACTGTAGTGGTATGTATTGATATGTAGTGATATGTATTGATTGTATTGATACGTAGTGATATGTAGTGATATGTAGTGATATGTAGTGATATGTATTGATATGTATTGATATGTATTGATATGCATTGCACAAATGGGATTAGACTAGACTCTAGACTGCCCTTAAATTGCTGTCATGGGTGGTGATAGCGCGGGTCGTGGCACTGCACTGAGGTTGCAGTGCTAGGTGCACTTGAAGAAGAGCGCGTTCGACAGCAGCAGGACAAATCACTGTCGAGTGCCGAGCTGTGCACATGGGGTTCACCTCACCCATGAAGATGCTATATCAGTCGTATCTTATTTCGTATAGACCTTGAGTACATATGAACCCATGCACATATGTATAGTATATATTAGTATATTATATATATATATATATCTCATATCTATATGTGCCCAGACATCTTTCTGCAGTACATGCACACACACACCATCACAAATGATCATATATGTATAAGTCACACTACAGAGAGCACAAAACAACTTGGCGTGAAATGGCATTGCATTACATGACAAATCAAAACGTCAGATGTCTAGGATGGAGCCACTGCCAATACCACTGCGACTGTTGCCTTTCAACTCCATTGCATCAAATTGCAGTGTGCCCATACACATAGCTTTCCAAGATATCGCATCTGCAGACATCCCTGGAGAAGAACGGTGTATAGTGGATGAGTTGAGTAAAACAGGAGCGAAGAATGAGGATCATTGAAGAGAACAAAAGGCTTGCAGCAGCTGGACCCTCAACCCTGGCATTCTTGGCATATCGTCAGTGGAATTCAGTGGATGCCATGGAGGCATCGGAGCATGACTGGATCTCCATGCCAGCTTCGCTGAGGCAAAGCGGGAAGCTGACAAGGAGGAGAGGAAAGAGTACTTCAAGTATGACCCGTGACCAGAGGATTGGCATTGCGTACTTGGCACCCACTGAATCGCAACATGATTTGGGCTGTGCCATGGCCGGCACATGTAGAATTTCTGATTCATGCGCTCGCTTGCCAGTTTCACAATCAAGCGGACAAATTGTGTTCCTCGCAAATGCGAGGTCTGACTTTGTTCATATGGATGTTTCTCATCAAGCATATTCTAGTATATTCTAGTATTCTATCGTCAGTTTCCCGTGAGCTTCCATTCTTAAGCTCTCAATGTGCGGCTCGCAGCCAGTTGGTCCAATTGGCACCTGGTTTCACAATTGCTACATGCTCCCAGAGAGCTGGTGTGACTGACGGCAATGAAAAAGAGCACGGCTTCGCAATGTTTGGGTAGCAAGGGTTCAACCATGTTCAGCCCCATTTCTCATGGTGAAACATCATAATTTGATATAATTTGGTTTTCAACATATTTTGATGTTTCAAAGCGTTGGCACTTCCCCAGATATATATATATATACATCACATTTCCATGCATTTCCCTTCTTGTTTTGCATCCATGGATTCATTCGGTCTCTTGTATGCGGCAGTCGGGGCAGGTGTTTTCGTTTGCAACACGACACATGGCTCAAGCTTTTGCTTGAAAGCAGCATGAGCTTCCATAGAAGACCACAGATTCCAATGGACCCCTGCAAATCTATCGACGAGGGCATGAACCAGCCACAATTTGCAGACAAGCAACTTCACGAGCTGTGAGACGCAGACGTTACTCTATGCCAGTCAGAGGCGATCCAGACAGTCTCCTGGATTTCTCCTCAGACGAGCAGCAACATGGTGTTCGTTTGTGCATTTGTTGGGACCAGCGGTGAGTTTGATGGAAAGCCTGAGGTTGGCCGTCATGTCAATTTTGTGGACGATGTCCGATCTACTTTGAGGCAGGGCAAGTGCGCAAGTTTCAACATGCCATGGTATGAAGAGATTGCCCAGTTTCAACTTGCTGAACACTGGTCATTGTCTTTGGATATCAGTTGATATCAGAATTCGCATCCTCTCATTTTTCAGGCTGGGGGAAGAATGACAGAGGGTCGATCGAGATGTGACGTACTGATTGCCACCATCGTCACTGTCGTCATCATAACCACTATGACCAAGTCGCCATAGCCACCAAAATGAGGCAGGCAGCAGCTGACCGCTTTGATTTTGTGCCCAGCTCTAAGTCGCTAAAGCTTGGAAGGTTCAGCAGTGGCACTTTGCGGTGCTTCAGCAATTCTGGCCAGACTTCTTGAGCACTCACTTGACTCAAGAACTCTTGTTTAATTTTATTGTTTATCATTTCTACAGATGAGACATTCAACTGTCTGAGGTCCATACCATTGGCCGCTCCGCAAGGACAGGGCATTGGATGCGACTTTCAGCCCTCAGCCAGACTCCCAATTTGACTGGGTACATAGTGAACACAAACTCAGATTTGTCCTTTTCAATGACCATTCATTTCTTCACGCTTTTATACTTGTTCCTAACAAAAGCAAACATGGTCAAGTCGCATCTTCTGAATACATGAGATACATAGCTGATTTTCATCAAATCTCAAGCTAGAAGGCTGGTTTTGTTGCGAGGTAGAGTCCTGCTTCTCTTTAGAGGCGGTGTCACACTCTGTGTTTGCTTCGGTTTTCACTGGTCGTTGCCACTGCACCTTGGACACTCATTTGGCGGTTTTTGTGCATGGCGTTTTGTGAGTCCGTCGTGTTGTCGTACCCCTTGTATTGGGCACAGTGAAACTTGCGTGTTTCAGGGTGAGCAATGGCGAACAGTTGTGGTCGGCAGAGTCTCTGATTCGCTGGATCCAGACACAGCTGCTACATTTGCTGAAGCAGAGGTGCGCGACAGAGCGCCTTGTTTCACTGTCATAGTCAATCTTTAAGATATGTTTACCTGAACGGGCCGCTTTGGACTTGCTTGATTGTAGAACATTCTCACATAAGAACGGGCGCCACAAGTTTAATTCAGTGTAGTCTGCTTCCTAAACGTTGAAGCGGGAGTACTGTAGCTCGCTCCCTGCTGACAGCTGACATTTGAGATGCACTCCCTTGCAGACAGGTAAGTAGCCAGTGTAAAGGTAGTCGAGTGACTCCTTCAACTGGCAAACCTGGGTTCCCTTGCACTTTGTTTCTGTTCAAATACCCAATGTCGCAGTTCTTCAGAAACAGACAGCTGTGCAAGTTTGTATTCTGTGTGAGCAGTGGATGTTGTTCGTAGTTGCGATTGCAGTGCTTGTGTGCAGTTTGTATGCAGGTGCTGCGGTCTCAATTGGAGACGGAACTACGATGGGTGCCAATCTGTGTGCGAAGTTTGCTTAGAGAGCGAGACACAGAGAGAGAGAGAGAGCACGACAGGGGGAGAGAGAGAGAGAGAGCAGACTTGATGAAGGGGTACTTGATGAGACTACTGAAGTTGAACTGCTAGCGGCTAGCGCATGAGTGTGATTCTATAAGCGTCTCAAGCAGATTCTAGTACAGACCCAGTAGTTCTTTTTGAGCAGTAGCCTCTACCATGTTGTCGCCTTCTTATCTTGCCCAACTTTCAATTTCTATGGCTCCAGACAGCTTCTCATAACAATAAGCTTATGCGTTCCTGGTGTATGTGGAACGACAACACTGGCAACAATAAACGGCTCTCACAAAGTGCTTTTCTGACATCAGTAGAAATAAATAGGCACCTCAAATTCTGAATCAGCAGACTGATAGACATTGACGAAGCTGTGGAACTTAGAAAAACACTGACGCTGAGCATCACAATGCGACACGTCAAAGAAGACGAGCGAACGAGAACACGTTAACTTATCACAACCACAAGCAGGGATAAGCGGCAGCACTCACGACAAGTTTGGGTGAGCATTGAAGATATATCCAGCTGTATATCTTCTTCTTGCTTTCGCTTTTGGTTCTCACTCTCTGGGGAGGTATGTCAAGTTGAGCGGAGCAGCGTTGTAGACTGTGATCAGTGGATCGCCCCAACCAAGACTTTGAAGAACAAGAGCCATACCACCCCTCTGTGTCGGTGTGATGCTTGCTCATGGGTTGCCTTCAATCAGCTTTTTGGACCGGCCGGTGGTGGCTGTTAGATGTCAAGTCACTAGGAACAGTTAGACTTCATTGGCTGAGCAGCATTACTCATCATTATTCGCGCTTTTCTTGCTGAACTTGCTTGCATGCGCCATGCGCTGCTTGCAGGAGGGAACATTTCTGCGCCATCCGGAACAACAGAAGCCTGGGGCTTGAGTCTCTAGTTTCTAAGTTTTGGAAAGGCTTTTCAGATCTTTTCAGATCTTTTCAATATTGCCTTCTTGGGGATCTCTTGGGGATCTTGATCATCGGAATCATGGGGCCTTCGACAGTGTTACTTTATGGCCCAGCGCTGAGATCCTGTGAGGCTGCCAGATTCAGTTCCCGATTTTCCCGATTGTGAATCTGGAGAAAACACACAGCTTGCATCAGCAAAGTTTGCTGTCACAAGATCCATGGAGCCAGGGCTGAACTAACGACTTCAACCTTCAATTATCTTCATTATCTTCAATTTGCAACAGCACTGCACTCTTTGTCTTGTATTGGATCCATTTGGATCCAATGAAATGCACAGAGACTCGCCAACTGAAGGGACTCTGGAAACTCTGGAAACTCTGGAAACAAAAGGTACAGAGATTACAGAGACATAGCAATCATAGCCAGTCTCTTGTGATGCTTCCAGGAGATGCGAAGGCGGACACTGCCCGGTCACGACCAAGGACCCTCAGTAAACTTCGATCTGATTTATGAAGGCCGACGATCCAAATCCTTAAATGCTTAAATTACTTTACTTCGTGTGATCCCCACCATGACATTTATACATTTTGTTACAGGCAAATCTTCTGGCATTCTATCTGACATTTTATCTGGCATTCTATCTGGCATACCTTCTGGCATTCTATCTGGCATATCTATTCTATCTGGCATATCTTCTGGCATTCTATCTGGCATATCTTATAGCTTTCTATCTGGCATATCTTCTGGCATTCTATCTGGCCGTTGAGGTCCAACGGTGCACACTGAGCTGGGCAGGTCCCAGGTTGAGGTCCAGCGGTGCACACTGAGCTGGGAAGGTCCCAGGTTGAGGTCCAGCGGCGCACTGAGCTGGGAAGGTCCCAGGTTGAGGTCCAGCGGTGCACACTGAGCTGGGAAGGTCCCAGGTTGAGGTCCAGCGGTGCACACTGAGCTGGGAAGGTCCCAGGTTGAGGTCCAGCAGTGCGCACTGAGCTGGGAAGGTCCCAGGTTGAGGTCCAGCGGTGCACACTGAGCTGGGAAGGTCCCAGGTTGAGGTCCAGCGGTGCACACTGAGCTGGGAAGTTGGCAAAGAGCTTGGCGAAGAGTTGGCAAGGCGGAAGTTGAGGTGGAAGTTGATGCAGACATGGTCGAGGCGAAACAGGCGGAGGAGAAGGAGGAGGAAGAGGAGGAGGAGGAAGAGGAGGAGGAGAAGGAGGAGAAGAGCTAGCCGAGGAGGAGGAGAAGAACAACTCTGATAAAATCTAACAACCCTCACCTGGCAGGTGGGGAATGATCTTAAATGGTTTTGCAGTTGTATTTTTATCGAAATGATCGCAAGCCAACTACGATCAACTACGTAATTACTGACAGATTGCTCGAGCTGTGGAGGACTGCTGTATCTACAGTGCCAGCTGCACAGTCTCAATGCGAAGTACTTGAAGTGTCATCAGGCCTTGCTTTCTGTAGGGGAAGTCTTCCGATTTCGCACTCAGAATCTGTATTGTGTACAGCCGTTGACTCGTTCTGCTGGTTGAATGTTTGCTGAGTTTGCTGGCCCCGGGTATGCGAACTTGCTGGTGGTATAGTTTTGGGGGAAGTTCTGTGTGGTGGAATGAGTTGGAAAGAGCCCCACTGGCCCCACTTTTCGTTGTGGCATATGTTAAACTTTATTAAACTTTGACGTGAGTCGCTGGTGTTGGTCCATGGACTTACCTTGAAATGCCTGGTTTGCCGTCAGACTTCGTATCGTTTTCTCCGTGATGCTTTCTGCAGTGCTTGATGTGATTTTGTGAGAAGGTCCGCATCTCCGTGGCATAGTGGTTGCCTTGGCTCTTGAAGATCCCCAAAACCCAAGTATGGCGAAAGATGTGAACAGAATCCCTTCAAATGCCACTTAAGAGAAACATTGGAAAAATGTGGATCTTGTGCTTCCAACAGCATCCAAAAGTTGAGTAAAGAAAGCAGCGAATCGCACACAATCACATCCTTACAATCAATGATGGATCAACAAGTCATTGATTCAATTGATTCTCTGATCCATTTTGTGATGCTCTCAAGCTGCAAGACGAGGTGGTC